CCAATACTAAAGATTAACCTAACCCAAGGAGGTTAGAGATAGCTATATGAAACATCAAAATAATAAAAGAAAATGCTAAAAGGTACAAAAACTGCCTGTATTCATGTACTGAAAGAATACTGTTCAAATCACCTGTTTTTAACCTTTTTATTCCCTTTTGTTTCATTTGGTATAACATAATAAATGTACCACTTACTTGATAAAATTTTGTGCCTGGATTCCTGTAACTCAGTGTTATGTCCTTGAGATTGATCCTCACTGAGTAGTTTGCTTTTTACTGCTTTGTAGATTTCTATTGTTTACAGTTACAACTCAGTTAATGGACATGTTTGTGGTAATCAATTGGGCTATTATGAATAGCTGATATGAACCTGCATGTAATACCTGTCTTAACATTTGAGGAGAGACTGACACATCTTTCATTAACCACTCCCACTTACTCCCTCTATCCCTGCCTCAATATCTAACAAGATAGCTTACCAGGTGGACATTTGTTATATAGGCTTTTTGTTGTTGTTATTGGTTTGTTTGCTTTTTTTGTCTTTTTGAGACAGGGTCTTCCTATGTAGTTCAGGTTGGCCTTGAGCTCATTTTGTAGTCCAGGCTGGTCTCAAAGATGTAATGATCCTTCTGCCTCAGCCTCCTGAACACTGGGATACAGACATGTGCCATCATGCCGAGCTTGTTGAAGAGTTTTAAACTAGCTGTGTGTGATTTGTTTTCTAAGTTTCACATGAAAAATAGACTCCAATGTCAGGACAAAGTCTACTCAAAGTTTCCATTACTACCACAAATAGTGATCAAATAAGGTCAGGAAGTCAGTCTCCTGTATTTAAATGATCTATTTCGGTCTTGTTGTTTAAAATAGAAACATGTTTCCAGATATATTTTAGTGATTGATCAAGAAAGAATGTAGATGTTTTCCAGTGCCATTTTCTTTCCTAAAATTTCCACCGACTTCCTTCATCCTTATACTTCACTTTTTTGAACAGCAATTCAGAGATAGGCAGACCCCAACTGGAAACATAATGTTCAAAGAAATACAATGTATTATACAAGGAATGCCATTATTGTGGTAGTTTATTCAACCTCCACCCCCGCCCCCATTTTTCTTCCCTTTAAGGCTATCTATTTGAAAGATCTAAGGAACCAGACATTCTGGATTTGAATCATGGATTTGAAATCATGAACAAGGTCAGTGATATAAACTTTGAGTCTGAGCTTTCTATTTTCTCAATTAGGTATATAATATCTTCCATACTGGGTTTATTGGAGGATTAAAAGGCCTAACACATGGTAAGGAATGAAGTCAGGTTCAGAGTGAATCCAAACTTTGTTTCTGAATGAGCTGACATTTCTGTTTCCTGTTCTCTTGCTTCTCTGATAATTTGTTGTAGGGAACAAGGCACCTTCAGGAAGCTCACAAAGAGCACCCAGACTGTTTACATTTTAAAGACCAACAGTGGTACTTGGCATTTGTTAGACACAGAGTAACTCCAAGAATTTCAGTTTCAGTTAAATTATGATACATTCTTGTCCTATACCTGCAAGGCTGTGTTTCTTACAGTTCCATGCTAAAATACAAGTACTGACCTAGAATCAGTGTGCAATGTGATATTGACAGTATCAACTTCATTCCAAGATTTCAGAAACTGAGCCATGACCAATTGACAAAAATATTCTATTTGTAAGTGAGAGTGTTTAAGAATGAAAAAAAATTATGGTTATGAATATTATTTTTTCATTTGGTTATAAACTGTTAGGACATGAGCACTCATAAAGTTGTTTGGACTTAACTATTCCGTACATGATTTGCTGTCTTCTGATCCAGAAAGTGCTAGGAAAAAACAAAGCCACTAAGCATACTTGAAAATTGGGAAATTTGTCTCCCTCTTTGTTGAACGCTGGAGAAACAACAGTGACCCGGGTAAAGATATACGTATTTTTAGTAAGTATATAACAAATGTTGAATCAAACAGTCAAGACTATATCTTGTATATATACATGCTATTCCTCAGGAAATCATTTCTCTAATTAGTCAATTCTTTTTCTTTTCTTTTTACAGTGGATCGAACTCACAACCTCCCACTTGCCAGGTGAGCGCTTATGCTGCTGAGCTAAATCCCCAGCCATCAATTCTTTTTCTAATTTTTAATTTTTTTAGTACATTTGCAGTCCTGCAGTTTAGAATTATTTTTGGGAGTGGTTACATGTACACATGACAGCTTTTTTTTTTAAATCCCTTTTTCCTTTCCTCCCACCTCCTCCAACTCCATCTCATTTTTGTTGATACTATTCTCTTTATGTTATGGCATATAATGTTTACATTAATTGAGGTCATTAGGTCCCAGTACATGGCCCAAATTTATTATACTTGTTTTCCCTTCTCCTCCTCACTCCTTGATCTTTCCCTTGGGTCACTTCCCTATTGCAAGACATCCATCTCCTTTATTATTCTTGTTGTTTATAACAGTTAACTCTTAATTATCCTCAAAATGCAATTTAAATATAAGCACTTTTAGGAAGCTGTCCCTCATTTGTAACTCTTCTACTCCCATGCTTTGTGAGAAGTCTGATGTCTAGGCTTTTGTGGATCACATCATACCATTACCTTTGTATGAATTTGTGGACACAGATAAAATAGAAATGGATTTAGCATCTATGGAATTTGGGATAGTGTCTTAGTACATTACAGCTGCTCTGAAGATACCTGCTAATGAGCTAATGAAACACCAAGAAGATATGTAAGTAATAGTCTGGTCATCAATAAATGGAGTGTAACTTTTTCTTTTCTTTTTTTTTTTTTTTTTTGTGGGAAGGATCCTGTTATATTTCTCTGCAACCCTCAGATAGCCAAAGAATAGTTACCACACAGTGCATTGGTCACAGGTATTCCAAAGGGACAGAACCAATGGACTATATAGAGACAGATATAAAAGATTTATTACTGGAATTGGTTTACAGTTAGGGAGGCAAAAATGTCTCACAATCCCTGTCTGCAAGCCGGGGAAACAAGAGAGTAGTGGTATAATTCAGTCCTACTCTGAAAGCTCAAAAATTGGGGTGCGATGGTGTCTCAGTCTTAGTACAAAAGTTTGAGAACCAGAGTACCACATCTGACAACAAGGGAAGATGGCTCTCTCACCTTAAGCAGGGAGCAAATTTACCCTTTTTCCATCATTTTGTTCCATTCAGACTCTCAATGAATTGGATGAAGCCTATTCACCTTCTGGAGGGGGATGAGTTTTACTCAGCTCACCATTCATTTTTATTTTGTACTGGAAATCAAACCCAGGACCTTGCACTTTCCAGGCAGGTGCTCCTGCTACTCAGATATATCCCTATCAGCTCACCAGTTCCAATGTATTTCAATTCCTTAGCCTAGTGATGGAGAAGCTTTGGCATGCCTGTTGTTTTTCTGACAAAAAATGCTAATGTATGTGTTTTTTCTGACCTACAGTATTCATATTTAATTAAAGTATTCGCATTTTACAATAAATAAGTGGGTTTTGGATTCCACTTTGGGCACGTCTCTCTAAAAGGTCTGCCATCAAGTTGACACATAAAAATGATTACATGTAATTTACTCGACTGAGGCAGTTTCGGGGAAATTACAGCCAATTAAAGATGGATGGAAGAAACTTTACAACACAAAAATGTAAAATATTTAAAAAAAAACCCTTCTGAACACCGAAATTAGTTGTGTTCTTTTGCACTTGGAAAACTTATTAGTTAAGAATATTTCAAATGTCAATTTTCATTGAAATCATTCAGCTTGACAGAATATTATAGTTCCAGAAGCTATCTGGGTACCTGAGGAGACACAACCTTTATAGACAATTGTTTAACATGGCTGGGAATAATTGGCAGGAAGATAAATACCATTTGCATTAGAATATATTATAGACTACTCTTCCCCATTTTAAAAGCTACAACAAATAATCCTAACCATATAATGAAAGATGTAGAGCTACTAGAATTCTCAAGCACTGCGGGTAGAAATGAGTTCGGTTCAGCCATTTTGGTAAAGTTTGGCAGTTTCTTCTGAAATGTTAAGACCCAATATTTCTAGTTTTTGGCATTTGCCCAAGAGATACAAAAACCTGTCAACGTAAGTTGTATGTATACAGTCCGCTATAGCTACTTTATAATTATCAAAAACTAGAAGCAAAATTCCCATCACTAGGTAAATAAATCAACAAATTATAGCACACCAAAATAGTATTAGGCAACAAAGAGATTTTTAAGACAATCATAGCCCTAAGTGAAATCTCAAAACACAGACGGGATGAAAAATCTATGTAAATTTAGGAACAGAGAAATCAAACTAGAATTGTACAGAGGGTAGTGGTTACTAACTGGGGAGTGTGTGGGAATTTCTCGGTTAACAGAAATAGGTTATGTCTTCATTCCAGGTTTGGGGTTCACGAATAAATATTGGCCAAAAATGGAATTTACATTTAAACATGCATATAAATTAAAAATCAGCGATTATTACCTAAGACTATGGTGATACATGGATGCAAGGACCTTTGTAGGTGTGTAGATGTGCGTTGGGGATGAACCCAGCATGCCAAGCAAACGCTCTACTTTAAGCTACTTCGTTAGCCCTTCAAGAGGACGAATATTAAAATGCACTCTGATTTTAGAAAAAAAATGGCGGGGCAGGGAGGGAGTTTCCAAGTACCAGAAACTTTCACACTATTTGTACTGATTAAAGTGAAGGAAAACTTGCAGCCAGTCTGTATTTTACAGAGCGCAGGCAGAGTCCTGCGAACGCAGCTGGTCAAGAACTGCTTGCTTCTCACGACTGCCAACTTTAGGTTGACCCGACTACACCCCAACACCACACAGTGCCCGAGCGGATCCCAACGACCCCAGCACACTCCTCAGCCAACAGGGCCACCTCCGCTGCTAGGCTGTAGCCTGGAGGGCTGGCGCTCGCCGGCATCGCGCTGACGTCACGTGCGTGCTGACGTCACTGACGGCCGCGGCCTCTTAAGCTGGCTGGGACTCGGGGGGCGCCGAGTTTGACTAGTTTGGGGTCCGCTCTGGGATTGGCGTCGCTCTAGCGGCCCACCGAGCCCTGGGACTGCGCCACGGGCGGGCCGAGCGCGTCCCGCCCACTCTCGCTGGCGGCTGGGCGGTGCTCTGCCAAAGTTGGCCCTTCGCGGGCGTGAGGGCGGGCGACCGGCCGCAGCCATGGAGCCCCGCGGCATGGAATACTTCAGCTCCCAGGTGCTGCAGAAGGACGTTGGCGGCCGGCTGCAGGTCGGCCAGGAGCTCCTGCTGTACCTCGGCGCCCCTGGCGCCATCCCAGATCTGGAGGAAGACCAGAGCCGCCTAGGCAAGACAGTGGACACACTCACCGGCTGGGTGGGCTCGAGCAATTACCGGGTAAGCGGCGCCGCGGGGCGGGGTACGCCCTCCCTAGCCAGCCCTTTAATCCGGGACGTCTGAGTCTGGCGGGCGGAACTCCCGAGTTGCGGAGCCGCGCGATCGCTGTACTGTTTTGGGGGGCGCTCTGGAGTCCGGTGGCGCGCCCGGCTGGCGAGCCTGCGGTTCCACGCGAACCGGAGCCTTCCTTTCCACAGCGACCAAGTTTTTCCACATTTGTGAAACAATGACAAATTCAGCGATTCCGTGACACGTTGTGGTTATTTGGCGCAAGGCACAGTATCGCTTGTTTTAAAAAAATCAGTTGATAATTTTACATACAGTAAAGGGGTCTAAGGCATTATTACACACATGTGTGAACGCTAAGACGCAGGGACATAACAATACTATTTTAAATTGAAGTGACATGTCAAATTAATCCCGTTTTAATTTTTGTTTGTTTTCTAGTGAATGTGTTTTTTATTACTTTCGTAATTTTTGTATGTCTGGAAGGTTGGGATCTTCGTCTCAAACGCATCTTAAGGGCGTAATCAGGCTTCTGATTGCGTTTACCATTAAATCTAATGAAAAGATGCTGACCTCATGATATTATTTCTTTGCCTTTCCTTTATTGACTCTGGAAAACAGCTGAATGTCCTGTATTATTTTGCTTTACTGCATTTGAAGTCTAATGCGGAATTTGAAACCATATGCTACTAGGTTTAGTTTGTGGTGGAGGAAAAAAAGAATGAGGAGCAAGAATATATGAATAGTTTATCTAGAATCGTTTAGTAGGTAGATTGTAATATAGCCACCTAAGGAGGCTGAGTAAATAATACCTAGTTTATTCGTAGTTGTTAGCTATTACTTTTCTAGTCTGCTGGTGGCAGTGTTGCTTTAGAATGCTGGCCAGAATCTCCCGGGGATGAAGTGATTTATCCTAGTAATACAGTAGCATATCCTTACATCCAGTGACTAGATTGTGCTTTGTAGTATTTGTCTGCACAGAAAACAAAATCTACAAATAAGCAGATTTAATGATACAACCTATGAGTTTTAGAAAGATTAGACTTTTTAAACAGTTGGAGAATTCACCAGTTTTATGCTCCATGACATCTTAACTCTTTATTATTTTTTAACAGTTTGAGAAAACTTGTGCTTTACTAATATTATATAGTAATACATTTTTGAAGATTATTTATTCTTTGGAAAAAACAAGATAAATTTGCTTTGTAGGGAAGGCCTATACACAGATATGACGATTGATTTTTGTCTTGCAGCAGAACCTGTTGTAAAAAGCTCTTTGGTATTTTCGATCATCTTCTCAGTTGAAAGTTGATGTGCCATCTTCAGTACTGATGGTAGTGAATTGGCCTTGCTTTGTTTCACTCCTATAATGCCATCAATAAGTGACAGCTGAGCAGGCTGTCTTGTGAAGAACACCTGGTTTCTGTGATACTGTGGTATCCCAATTTTTCTGTCATTCTTTTGAGAACTACTTTCACTCAGTGCTATTTTTTTCTTTTTGAATTAGAATCCTTTGGGGCTCACATCTGTTTTATCAGGTATTATTTCCAGGCTTCTCATTAGAAACTGCGGCCTGAGATAACTTAAAGGATCAGAAGAGAACTGGCACAGGCTCTCCAACCTTGTCTACGTTCTTTGTAGTAGCTCTGCCAAGGTAGTTTACCTTCTTTCCTGTTACACTGAATGAATAACCTTGTGCCTTGCTTACTCCAGTCCGTCCACATATTGATGTGGATTGATGAAGATTAGAATCTTCTTGTCTACTCACTGTTGATTCATCAATTTTCTGCTTTTTCATTAACTAGTTTTCTTGTTTTTACTAAATTTGGTAGTATAAAAACATCTGACATTGTTAGTGAGAGGGCAGTCTAATTAGTTTATTTGGGTTTTTTTTTAACATGTATTTTTTTTTTTTTAATTTTGAAAGTAGTAAAAATGCAACAGCACAAGACAGAACAAAGCCAATCGAGACAATGCAGTGAAATTGGTACAGGATTTCACAGTAGGATACTGGGATAATAGTAATAAGTACTATGGTATATCTCTTTAACTTAACAATAGCTGTCCAGTCAATTACGTATTGTAAAATCAAACCAAAAATAGAACATTGTAAAACCAATTGAGAATACTGAATAGAGCAAAAGAGACATAAAACAGTGAAAACAACCTATGCCTTCAAACAGAAGATAGAAGGAAATCCCCCATATTTGCTATACTGCATATGCTCATCCTCCCGAGAGATGTTGAAACATCTATCCCCAGTAGCTAAGGGGGGAGGCGACAGGTGGGAGAAGGGTGCTTGATTTTCAGCTCACGTGGCACTAGGCTCACAGGTAATGGTTCTCCTCCAGGCCCAAGCTGCAGGTGCTTACCAAGAGGGCTGGCGAATAAGCTGCCTGAGTCTCTCCATGGCTGGATCTCTGGAGCTCTGTTCTCCTCCTTTAGTCTATTTGGGTTTTATAAACTGAATTGCCAAACTGAGTTTTTTTTTTTTTTTCTCCAGATACACTAAAACATAATTATCTCTACAAAGAGAAATTCTTGAACATACAACTGGAATTTGCTAAAATTTAAAGTTATATTGAGCAAAATACGTTTCTTTCTTTGAGTTTGATAAAGCTTTAGAATTAGTCTTTCTATCTCTTGCTGGAAGTACTGGGGATTGAACCCAGGGAGGACTGAGCTGCATCCTCAGCTCATTTTTAAATTTTGTTTTGAGGCTGGGTCTCACTCAATTGTCCAGGCTGGCTTCATACTTGCTCTTTTTTCTGCCTCAGCCTTCCGTGTAAGCTGGGATCACAAGCATATGCCACCTTGCTGGTTTAGTGGCTCAGTAACAATCATTGCTTTAGTACACTTGAGTGCTGATTGTATGCTGAGTATCGTTTGCGATGTTGAGGATTCAATTGTGAACAGCAAGACTTACTGAGCCATCATCTTTAGATATTTATTGATGACCTACTATGTACAAGCACTTATATTTTTTGCACCGTAGCTACAATAGTGAAAAGACGTTTTTACCTTTGTGGCCTTCCTTATATTCTAGTGAGGAGAGGAGAATAAGCAGAATAAGTAAGTAACATCTGTAGTGTATTATATGGTGATAGATTGTATGGAGAAAAAACAGTGAAGGGAATAGGAAATGTTAGGCCGAATTTGGATGTAGGAGTTTAAATGGTTACTTTTTAAAGACCTCATTGACAGGGTAGCTTACCAAGGATAGGAAGGTGAGATCCCTGTTGTGTTAAAACAAGATAGACAGGCTGGGAATTAGAATTTAGTTGGTAGGGTGTTTGCCTATCCTGTGTGAGGCTGCAGTATCAATCTCCAGCACCCATCCCCCCAAAAAATTTAAAAAGAAGCAGGCAGATGGGCATACAAATTAGATCATATAAAATCAATGTCGTGAAAAAAATGAAGATGAGACTATATTTTGATTAATCAAAGTTAGGAGACATTTAGGTACACACATTAAACAGATAAACATAGGAGTAAAGATTGCTTCAGACAGAGGAAGAAGATGCCCTAGTTTGAGGTTAGAATTTACATGAGTGAAGTATTAAGGAAGGTGAAATTGGGAAAGTAAGTGGAAGCAGCCTTGTAAGATTTATTCTGAATGGAAGACTGTTACCTACCTTAAGGCAGAAGTAGGTGTAGTCCTTACTGGAGAGTGAGTTGTAAAGAAACAACAGAAGAAGCAGGGTGCTAATAGGAACAGGGGCTTGTTTGGTAGTAGTGGTAGTGCTATGAAATAGAATATTTGGGATTGGATTTGTGGTAGATCCATTAGGATCTCATGTTGGATTGAAGAATGAGAGAAACAAGAATTATGAATAACTACCTTACATGAGCAATAGGATAGATGGTGCAGTATATTGAAATAGAAAGAACAAGAGTAGAACAAATTGGGTGAGGGAAGCGAAAAGTTTGGTTTTGAGTTAATGGATTTGAAAAGTTGCTTAAAATAAAAAATGAGGTGTTACGTTGGGGTTTTGAGTTTGGTGGTCTTAATTGGAGACAATAGGTGTACATGTAACATTTGCTCTGGCATTTGACTTCTGCTAAGGAGTCTTGCAATTTCAGGAATCTGAAAAATTCTAAGTGGTATGCATTACTAATGATAATAAAAATTGTCCTCATAAAATGCTATTAAGTATGATAATCATCTAAATGAGTCTTTAGTATTAGATACTGTCTCAAGGTTTTTTGTTTTTTTTTACATCATCTCATTTAATCTCTAATTTGGTTTCAGGAAGTCAGCATTATTATTTTCTTCCTTTTGTACAAAGGGAGACATAAATATTCTATATTAGATCATAGACTTGATAAAAAGAGAGGGTGAATACTTGAACCTACCAAGACTAGGATACTCATATTTTACTCTTTTTTTTTTTTTTTTGCTTTTATGATTTTTCAGTACTGTGAGCTCTAATTTCATTGTACATTGGGAGGATTAGTAACATTACCTTCTGTCTGCAACCATAACACCAAGTTGACTCTAAACGTAGGGAAAACAGTAAATAGCATTTATATTGTAACCATGCAGTGCTATGCTAAGTAGTATATTAAAATCTCACGTCTTTTCCTTGGAATCCAAAAATCACAGCCCCTTTGGCATTTTTGTGGTTTGTACTACCCAACATCAGCATCACCTCAGTTATAGTTCCTTTAAATTGCCACTTTCTTAAATATTATATAACATTTTCTTAATTGGCAAAAACAAAAAGTGGTTTATCTACTCATTATGTATATGGGTCTTGTCTGTTCCTTTTACTGTTATATGGGATGAGCATTAAAAAATTATTTTTGTTAACACTGTCTTCTTTATAGTATCACTTTTGTACATAGGCATGAAAATTTTCTAAATCAATGATGTTCAATCCTGGAAGGTTCAGTATCACTTTTTAATGTCTCCTTTACAATCCTGAAGTAAAATGTATAAACAATACCCAATATGCATAATTTTTAAAAATTCATATAGCTTCCTAACTACT